GGAACCGCTTAAGTAAAGGTGCGTAAAAAACGGGCAACAAATTAAAAAACGTGCAATTTGTCTTGCAACATTGTTGCAGAACAAGTTGAATGCGACGTTGCGCGTTTTACCACCCAAACAAACCTGTTAACAACCTGATTTGTTGCAAGAGAGGTTTGATGCTGGTGGTAAAACATGCAACATCGCTATTCAACTGGCTTTGCAGCAATGTCGCAAGACAGGTTGCACGTTTTTTATTGCCCGTTTTTCCGTACTTTAAGTTAGGTAGATTTTGTTACATTTCTTCTACAGTCATAGTTCGATACTCTTTTGCGTTACATGTTATCAGTGACTTTCTGTGGAGTAGCTGTTTTGAAAGTTGTGAACCAAAAGACACTCGTTAAGCGCAGATAAAATTATATAGTGCGTATAACTGCTTATGTATAAACACTAGGAGACTTTGCCAGACACGAGTTCACAAATCTTTGATTGGAAACAATTTGTCACATACTCTTTTTCTCTCTTTGGGAGAATAAGACTCAGTCCAACAAGCAAGAAGAGTAAAGCAATGGCTAGCTTATCACTAGCAGAACGAAGGAGGATTACAGAAATTCGCCGACAGATAAAATCTCTGATTCTGCGCTGACTTATTCCCTGCTCACAGATGTCCTTCTAAAAAGTTAAAAAAGAAAGACTAAAACGCACGAGCGCGAATTGATCAAACCTTTGAATTTCTAAGGTTTACTTTCCGGCAAATAAAATGATCATGATACGAACTGTATGTAAAAAGTGAAAGACAAATTGCGAAAAATTCCAGGGATTAAATCTTTTCTTATGGTTTAGAATAAACTATTTTCGGAATTGAGAATGTTTTGACCAAAGCTGTGAGAATCGAACTGAATCAGAGCATAGAACCTTGCGTTTCCTGTTCTCATCTCACCTATTGTATAGAATATGTGTGAAAGTCTTCAATATGAATTGGTATATTTCAAAGAGCTACACAACGACTAAGAATGGTTTTGGCCGACAATATACAGAACGGGGGCAGCTGTACTCAGGCATGTTAAAGCATGGGTCACCTCATAATTTGCATAATTTGGCATTTGAAACGGATTGTTTTGATCAGTCATTATGAAACTTGGCAAACAGTTTGAGCTCGTGGCCTTAGCAAGATGTGACATATTTATTGTTGAAATATTAGTCACGTGACCTGCAAATTATCGTTAACGTTCAAAGTGTTCAAATTAAAACGGGGAAAAGGAAATGAAAGAGTAGCAAATACTCTTAGGCACCAGTGTTTTTCCCATGTCCTGGATATTATCAATTAGCCCTGCATGTATGCCTAAGTGGAGTAGGGATTAAGAAATAAAGAAAAACATGTCACGTGACTTATAAAAGACTTCAAAAATAACTCTTAATGAAAATGCTTTAATCCACCTGCAAGGCTAATTGACAATCCAGACAGTTCCGCTGACAATTCGATGACAAGCTTTCTAGGCTGAAGCTTAACAACCTTGCCCCGTTTGAGAAAACAGGTTTTGTGACGCAATGGTCCAAGGAATGTCACGTGATGCTTGGGATGAATTTTCCAAACCTAAACTAAACTACGCATGGCGTAAAAGGTTTGACGAATCAGTACGTGGTTCTTTGATGCGGGAGAGATTTGTGAGTTGACCTGCCTTGCTTCGCTTTACGTAAGAAAAGAACACCAAACAAACAACAAGCCGCAAAATTGTATAAAATGGTGATGAATTGAGCCCAGGTTACACAGAAAAAGCAACAACAGGCCCAAGTTTACGTAAGTAAAATTTATTTCTATATTTATGCCTACATTTCTACGCTTTAACAACTATATTGAATTTCTTATGCAAAGTCTTTAAATCGTTCGTAATATGCAAAGCAGTACTGAAACACGCCGTAATATATGCACCGAGCTTGGGTCGCCAGTTCCCAGTGTGGCTTGCAACTAAAAGAGCTTATAAAGTGGAGTATTAGTAATTATATCTCCAGTTCTGTCGCTTAATTCTGCAGCTGAAGACAGCCCACTAAGACTTTTGAGTAACTTCTTAGCTAGGCGCTTTCTTTACCCAAAGCTTCTTAATTTTAATAATTCAGGTAAAAACATTTATTAAAATAAGACACAGTTGACATTTACCTGCTTAATGCTGTTCCTATGTAAATGCAAATTCAGGGCATTCTCATTAATGCCAGCAAGAAAGATCTTAAACAAGATGCACGCTGTTTCCAATGTAAGAAATATCAAGGTAAATTTGACTTCCTCTTTGTTTAGTACGTTCGATTGACCGACGTCCTCTGTGAAAAATCAAGCGGGTGAGTAAACTATAAAATCTCCTGATTGTTCATTCCTAAAATTTTCGAGTACAGTCGTACTGTGTTACTTCTCCCAATACAGTATAATTATAATTGCAGCGAGGTACATTTTGTGCGTTCATATCAGACTAAAACGTGAGCATTCGATTATGCGATGAATTCAACAACGAGAAACGACAAAGGAATTGGGGTTTTGGCCGACACCTATTGCATATTAACGAACAATTCTTGTAAGGACCATTTGGAAAACAGCAGCGAGAGAAAGGCGGATCTTAATCTATATCAGGATCAGCAATGCGAAATATGGCACTTCGAATTGAGGGCAAGGCTAATCAAACAGCTAAGGACTACAAATGTATTTGCTCAATATTCCGACTAGACCAAACTAGTCTTCATCAGGGGCTAGAAAAGCTAAGTAGCCCCTGATGAAGACTAGTTTTGTCTAGTCGATATATTGGGCACATAAATTTGTAACCCTTAGCTGTCTGATCAACCTATTGCAAATCCAACCTTAGCACACAATCATTTCCCCCTTTTGTTTCGTTTACGATTTAGCGTTGCGCCTTATACTTAACCACTACGAATTTTATTTAATCAGATGTCTCAATGCTTCTCGCTACCCCATGCTTCCTTCGACATTGTAAAATTTGACTTGAAAGGCATTACAATACAAATTGTTCTCCGTGGCTGTTAAATGGGGTACATTTTTACTAAATAAGTATTGGTTACGTTTATTACGTTTTTAATCGGCGAATATACAGCGTTTTACAATTCTGCTGAAACAAATTACGATTACGGTTGTCACTATGGTTGTGATAACACTCTGGTAAATATAAAAAGCTGACATTTTTTCAACTGCGCTTTAAAACGGGTCACACGTTAAGGATGTGTGTTCTGTCGTGAATTGTCGTGATGTCGTGAATTGTAATACCGGTCGTAAAAATTGTAACAACAGCCGTCGTAAATTGTAACGCCTGTCGTAAATTTTAGTAACCGTCGTCGAGAATTCAGATAACCGTGCTATCGTAAATTGTAATAACACGCCGGGTGTCGTAATTTGTAATAAGTCGAGCTGTCGTGAATTGTAATAACACATTGTGGTATTTTGTAATAAGTGTCAAAGTTGATGTTAAGTATGGCAAGCCAAATGTAGCAATATTCAATTCGTTTAATTTTATATCTAGTTTTGTATTTTGTATTCAACTATGCGTTCAATATTCAACTTGTATTCACATTCAACTATTCATTTTATATTCAATTCTTTATTCACCCGTTCAATTATCTAGTTAACAATTTCAACTATTTATTCAGCATTCAACAATTCATTCAACATTCAACTTTTCGTTTCAAGTCAATTATCACTCGAGGAGAGGGCCCTGGGAACGAGTTCATCTTTCATGAGCCCTCACTGTTTCTGGTCAGTCATAACATCCGGGAAACCATCTCCTTCCCGCGTTTTACAATAGATCGATTTATCAGACTACAATGGAGGAAAATTTAAGACGCTTATCAAACTGCTTGAACCAGGCAAGCCAAGTAGTCCAGGAACTTGCTGCAATAGCGGTAGAAATGTTGTCGTTGATGCTACTGCTGGCGAGACGTCCACAAGCACAAATACAAGCATCACAATGGTGGGACAAGCCGCGAGTGGAGCCCGTGCAATGATGCGCCAGTCCACAACCAGAGGACTCTATTCTCGTTTAAACAGTAGAGAACGACTTAGAGCCTCGTCGTCCAATAACTCTGCTCCTGTAAAGTCGAAGAGAGCGAAAGCTGAAAGCTGTAAGGTATTTGAATTTGTGCTGTTGAGGCTGGATGGTGAAGATGATGAAGAACTGAACTCAGATAGTGTTCACTTTGATAGTTGGATGTTGACAGATGAAAGTACTGTGTTAAGAGGATTTGTGACTCTTAGTTCGGAAGACAATGAAGAAGCCATTAGAAAGGCAATGTCTGACGCTATACAGATGAAATAGTCAGCCGTAGCAGGTTATGACTTCGTGTTCCTAAAAGCAAACAGGAGAACAATAACACAGCCAGTGAATTGCCACGAGTACTCGTTCAAACAGGTAAAATCACTGGCCGGTCAAGGGGCTATTTACCTCAGACTGAAACATGGCTTTGGCTTTCTTCTAGACAATCAAGGCTCAGATAATAGTGGCTTAAAAGATAATGACGTCAGTAACCACACAGAGAGAAGCATGCCCATATCCACTTTGCAACCACCACAACGCCCACAGGAAGGCAGGAACCACACTCAGAGTAGCCCGTTATCCATCCCACATGGTTCACATGTGAGCAGCAACCACACACACAAAGTAGACCTGTATCCACCCTGCAACCAACCGACGGACCACAAGCAGATCTTAGTGATCAGTCATTTCTGATCACTGGACAGAGCAATTAAAACCTGAATGCAATCACAGTCGTTAGCTTTGCCAATCTGGAAGGAGCTGTTGCAGGGTGCATTAGCATCTGTAAGAAAGACAATGTTTGTAATCCTGTGGAGATGCTAAGGTGTGCCCAGAAGCTTATTGTGCAAGGTCGTCCATTGGATGTAAACTCACCTGACCAGCCACTGGATGGTGAAACTAACTTTGTCAGTATAGACCGATTTAATGTTTTGGAATCAGCTATAGAAGAATTCAAAGATCTTCAAAACCCAAGACTCACATTGGAAGTTTCATTCTATGGAGAACAGGCCTATGATGCTGGGGGTCCAAGGAAAGAATTTTTTCGGCTTTGTCTTAAAGAAATACAGCAAAGGCTCTTTGAAATTGGACTGCGCGAACTCATGGCCCCAGGAATATGAGTTTGCTGGAACTATTATGACCTTGAGTATTCTTCAGAATGGAACCACCCCACGGTTTATTCCTGAAGAAATTTTGCAGGAGATTTTTTCAGAGGATTTTGCATGGCCATGCATTGCAGAGCTTCGGAAAGGATTCATGAAACTTGGTCTATATGAAGTTGCAACGAGTCTACCAGTCTTTCTTTTCCTGCTGCGTGCAAATGAATCAATAGACGACAGACGACAGCTCAGCATCCTACTTCTACGGCCATCATTCTCAGAGGAAGGCACAAATGTACGCAAGTATGAAAATGATGCCTACGCTGCATTCTCAAAGTATGTGCGAGAAGCTGCAAGTGGAAGAAGGAGTAGAATCACTCTTGGGAGCATTCTACAATTTGCAACTGGGATGGATGAAGAACCACCCCTTGACTTTGAACTACAACCTAGTATTCAATTTGTTGCTGCTAATGAAGGGATCAAGTGGTCTTTCATTCCAAAAGCTAACACTTGTAGCAAAACAATGTTCTTAACAAGGGGCTCCCACAGTCGTTCTTTACCAGCTGAGAAGGAACTCTTTGAAGCTTATGATATTGCCTTTACAAATACCTTCTTTGGACTTTCATAAGGAAACTGTACATTTGATACAGCTTTCTCTGTACTTGTTTGTGCCTGGCTTTGCTGGACTAAAGACCTTTTGACTTATAATTTACTGTTTATAGTGACAGCTCGTTCACATTTTCAGGCAAAAAAAACATTATTTATAACAAGGCATCGATTTATCTTTCTAAGTTGTTTTGAAATGCAGATAGCCTCCTTTTGTAAAAAAAAAAAAAACATTCATTCTATAAATTTGAGTGTTGCTTCGTTGTAAATGAAGAACACAGAATGGAATAGCATAATGAGGGGAGGTTTTTATTACCAGGTATGCCAAATGGGTTTGCAAAGAGCTTTTACCACTGGTAAACTTCATTTTATGTTCTAAATGTCGCAGCACTTCAGCCCATACCAAAAAGAAGAGTGTTGACTTAAAAACATTTATACCTGACAACATCATCGTACTTTCATCCCCGTTTTACCACGTTTTTGTCTATGCTGTCAGGGCAATTTGCTCAACAGAAATTTTATAATTCATCCCTTTTAACCCGAGTATTATCGCATGTTTCATTTACAAAAATAGAAATTCAAGTTTGTTATGTTAATGTTTACAATAGTTTATCTTTATTCCAAAGCAATATTACATTACGAAAGTATCACTGTATGGTTGGAAGAAATATTTTTAAAAATGTTAAATCACGTGTTCATCATAATGTAGTAAAAATGAGCTACACTTTAGTATTTAGCAGAGCACTACACGTTGCTATTTTCTTTGCTATTGTTGGTTCCAGTTTGAAGGAAAATTTACTGTCTTGAAATAAATTTACAGTTGACGAGAATGTTGCTTTATTGTTCATGTAGATTTTTTCAGTTTAATGGAATGTTCCTGGCTTTGTATCAATTGCTTTGTTTTCAAGAAGAGATGTCCTTTTCACTGTTGTTAAAAAGATAACACTGTACCGAAAGCCCTAGTGAAAGAATCACAAAATAGTCAAAACATTTGCTATGAGCACATTCGTTTGCAGATTATTGGAAGGTTCTGCAATAATAAATTAAAAAAAAAACAGGTTGGGAAGTGACATCATCTATTTCTGAGTTAAATTTCACAGTGTGTAAAACCAGCTAATTTAGTTTGGTACATAGCACAAGTTTGCGTGCTGTTAGCAATAATATTGCCCACATTGTTACAAATTGGATAGCCATATCGACCAGACAAATTGCTATCCACTGCATTACTATCCATTGGATGGTGCTTTATCCAGTGGACAGCGAACAACTGGGGCCAGCTGACTAAAGTAAAAGAATTTTGAGGCAATCTTCAGATTACTGTTCCAAAGATTATCATATTAGAACATAAAAGAAATAGGAAAGTTAAAGAAAAACGGTGAACACATGAAATATTTCAGTGTTGTTTATTGTCTTGTGACCAATCACAGCAAAGACTAGGACACGAGAACTAGCCAGGAAACCACAAAGTAATTAATGTTCTTGCTTGCGGTTTACTTTCTCACTCCAGATTGGCTTTTTTTCTTGTAACACAATAACATTCCATAAATATTTCTGGTGTCCACGGTTTGACTGTATAAGCTTCCATCAAAAAAGGTTCTGAGTCTCTAGTTTAGCATACAAAGAATTATAAATTAACATGAAGGCACAGCGTCTTGAAATAAATTGACTTTCCAGATAAAAACATTCAACATATAGCAATAAAATACAACTACCGGTGTTATAATTTATTATTACTGCTTGCAGCCATCAGTACATTAGCTAAAGTTTGGGGCCTATGGGGATGGGCTGGCTGGTGAAAGTGGAAACCCCAGATACTCTAAACAAGTATTATCTTTAAGTCCTATAATATTATTAGTAATAATTTAAACGATTGAACATGCACCTGCCTTTTTGCTTAACTTTCACTTTGTCAAAAAATGATCATCTTCCTAGAGGGGGGGAGGTACAGGACGGTAAATCTCCCTCCTCCCTAAACTTGGTTTAAAAATTAACGGCGGGCAACATATAACTCCTGCACTTAGTGGTAAAGGAAGTATAACGACCTTCAGAGCTTGTACCACACGAAGAAGGCCTAACCACCATATGTATGCATACGAGGGGAGTACTCCCTTATATAGGCCATATACGTATGTGCCGCCTCAAAGGGTGGGGTTTCTGCGCCATTTCAGTTTTAAACGAGTATAGATTTTGCCCATTCTGCTCTGGAATCAGTGCCAGATCCAGTCCTTGAGATAAGGGGAAGCCCGGTCATCCAGACCCTTAGATACGGGGAGGGGGGTCTGTCTCCCCCCAAAAAGATTTGGTGTAAAAATCAGGGGGGGGGGGCAGGCCCCTCCCCTGGATCCCCCTCAGGGAATTGGGTATGGTTTTCGAGGAAACTACTGGGGTGTATGAACGTATGGACCATAAGGCCGTGCTAAAGCTACCCGCGGATTGATAATTGAGTCAAACTCCTTGGCTGTCTTTTACTCAAATTACTCCCCTGCCTAGCTACGAATTACCAGACGTTTTTTACTTTCATACGTTTTGCCCTATATTATGATTCACTTATTTTTCTATATGTATTATCAGATTATATTATTCATTCAAAATATTTCCCCGATTCAGATTGGCTAACAGCACACGTTTAATTCACCATAACCAGTTACTGATGACCAAATTTGGAAGAATTTTGACTTTAACGAGGAAATGACGTCAAAAATGCAGCGTATTCGCACGTTAAAGCACCGTTAACCGAGAAGACCTGGAACGCGGTTGAGTTGTTTTGGTTGTGAACTTGAAAAAAATGGCGGACATTTCACTCGTTTCAAGAGTAAGAACAAGGCGAAAAAATAGCTAAAAACATGGCAAGAACAGCAAGAAGACAACTCGGAGGGCGACATCTGCTGTTTGGAGAATATTTGCGGAGCTGGACAAACCTAAACGTACACTATCGAAGATGAACTGAACATCGATGGATCGATGGAGGTAAGCATGTTTTAGCTATGTTTTTAAACTAGGAATTATTTTGAATGAATAATAAAACAGTTATTGAATTCGGCTTTCGTATCATATGAAGAATTATGGAGATCTCGGAGGGTGTTATCCGCGATAACACCCTCCTTGATCTCCATAATTCTTCATAAGACACTCATCCTCATTCATTAACTGTTAATTATTTGTTAATTTTTTATCCGAGCATTGTATATATTTTATGATCGTTTCTTTTAATAGTTGGTGCAATGTCTGTAACAGATTTTACCAACTTAATAAATGTAGATGTAGATGTATTTGTCGTTTCAACTCCAAATGAATCAGAAAGAAAGGGTAATAAGTGAATTCGAAATGGAATTTAAGAAATCTCGTTTGAGCTCTAGTCTAAATTCTACCTATACCAGGTCTGAAAATGGGCATGGATTTAAGAGACGGGTCTGAAACGGGTGTGGGAAATAACATTTTTTTAGTATGAAATAGGGTCAGTAGTTTAATAACCGGGCGGCTCACGACCACCAAAAATTCCCGGTATTACCTCCCACAACGCCCGGGGTACCTACCAGGTATGTAAGAGAAATACGTTATCATATATAACGAAAACTCGTTCCAATTTTGCGGTGCGAACTACCTACAGACCCATGGAACAGCCATGGGAACAAAGATGGCTGTTGCTTTTGCTAACATCTTAATTGCCAGAATAGAAGATCAGATATTGAGACAGAGTTGTATTGAACGGCACGTACTCGTGGCAACCACCAGGCGTGAAGAAATGCTTCATTTAAGGAGAAGCGCTCATGCGTCTAGGGTCTGTTCCTCTCATGCTCAAACCACTTTTGAGGAAACTATCAACGATTTCGAAAATCGCCAGGTAAAAAGAGGCTACCCGGTCCCTATTGCGATGAAGTACCTCTCTGAGTTAAAATTCGCCGACAGGAAAACAGCCTTTCAACTGAGCAACAAATCTGCAAGTAAAAAAACACTACCATTTGTTACAAAATAGCGGCTTTTCTTTAGAATGAAGAAAATACTGTGGGAAAGTCCACCTTATACAAAACTAACGACAGCTAAGAGAAATCTTTAAGGAATATCATATCGCAAGGGAAAATCCTTTAAGGACCAGCTACTAGTTAGAGCGAAGCTCTGAAGGACAGAGAACTTCCTTTACAACTAAGTGCAGGAGTTGTCTCTTGCGACTGTCGTCACCAAGTTTTAAACCTAGTAACCTGAGACGAGTCAAAGTTTGATCCCATGCTTTCTTTGTTAAGTCCGACCAAGGGAGTCCCAGGAGACCTAAGGGGATTGTAGTGTACGCCATTTTCTCTGTCCCCCATCCGGCCTTGTCATAACGCAGGTTAAAGAAAAGCCATAAAATGACCTCATTGTAATCTCCCTACTCCAAACATTTCATTTTCTCCCTTCTCCCTACATTTTCGCCCCGATTTCTCCCTCCTCCCTACTTTTTCGGGCCATTTCTCCTTCCTCCCTATTATGTACCTCCCCCCTCTTCCTAAAAAAGTTTAATTGCAGATTTTTGTGTTACTTTACTTCGGGTTTTCAGGATAGGAAGCTAGTATTTTCACCCATAAATGTTTAAGTCAAGGTTCTCTGTAAGAAATATTCATGAAGAAAAGGAATGTTGGCAAACTGTGATGGGGTATGATCTCCTCTGGGGGTCAACTAAAGCCCGGGCTATGCCCACATTGGTCTCTTTTAGGGGTGTAGTTGTAATTTTCCCACAAGCATCCTGATCATGTTTACATAGGAGCCTGTCCTCCTCACCTCCGGGTAGTAATTTCTCTTCCAGGGAGATCTAAATATCATTCCATTCTATCCCTGACCAGGTCTAGGGCTTGAATATAAAGATCGATACGAACTTGAGTGGACTGTGTTAGAGGATCAACAACATCCAACACATAGGACTCTATTGAATGCCTATTATCTAAAGACATTGCTTCAACAACAACGTTGTTATATTCTTCTGAAGGAGAGGGGCCCTCTGGGTCATATCCATACAATTGAATATCATCTGGCTCTCCATCCACATCTCCATGAGCAAGGGGATTATTGGCATGCATCATACCATTCATCCAAATTTGATATGGGGTCCAATTACCCTCTGTACTCACTCTGTGATTGTTGAAAGCTTCAGAAAATTCTCTCAGGGAATTGTTTACTCTGGGAATAAAAATAGTGTGTAAAGCGAAAAGCTGAATTGGATCCTCGACATTAAGAATCCCCGATGATTCCATTGCATAAAAAAGTATAGTAGTACAGGTGACAAACACCTCTATGGACCTCTCTCCAGAGGTGTTCAATCCTCTGATTGTGTGTCGATGGACCAGCAATGAAACTTGCTCTTCCTTCTCCTCGATATTGTATCTTTGCATCACAAACAAGGACGTTCTCAACTCCCCTATCAACTCTGATCCTTGATGGCCAACGTTTACCATCCCTTTTGACAGCACCCAAAAACAGGTCAAGGACTGTCTCTGCCAGGTTATTCGAATTACACTTTAAATATATTATACGCCTCGAAAACCCATCGACACAGCCATGACGAGCTTCTAGCGAATTAAAGAATGGTGCCCATCTAAGTGCCATAATGAATTGGGCCATGGGACCTGGTATACCCTTCGTGAAACAAGAATTCCCCACCCCAAAGCCCTGTTTTGTGGGTCCAGTCGAGCTAAACATTCCCTTACTCTTCTTCTTTGCACTCTAAATCCTTGTCCACTTGTTGCTCCATGTTCACGAATATAACCTCGCACTACGTCTTCCAACTCGTCATCAGACAGTTTACTAAACGACCTAAAATCTTCTAAATCATAATCTTTGATCCTTCTTGATATAGTCCAACGAGATACTCCCAACATCTGCGCAATTCTAGTGTAAGTAAATCCTAAACCCAGAAGGTCTTCAAGTNTGCTCTTCCTTCTCCTCGATATTGTATCTTTGCATCACAAACAAGGACGTTCTCAACTCCCCTATCAACTCTGATCCTTGATGGCCAACGTTTACCATCCCTTTTGACAGCACCCAAAAACAGGTCAAGGACTGTCTCTGCCAGGTTATTCGAATTACACTTTAAATATATTATACGCCTCGAAAACCCATCGACACAGCCATGACGAGCTTCTAGCGAATTAAAGAATGGTGCCCATCTAAGTGCCATAATGAATTGGGCCATGGGACCTGGTATACCCTTCGTGAAACAAGAATTCCCCACCCCAAAGCCCTGTTTTGTGGGTCCAGTCGAGCTAAACATTCCCTTACTCTTCTTCTTTGCACTCTAAATCCTTGTCCACTTGTTGCTCCATGTTCACGAATATAACCTCGCACTACGTCTTCCAACTCGTCATCAGACAGTTTACTAAACGACCTAAAATCTTCTAAATCATAATCTTTGATCCTTCTTGATATAGTCCAACGAGATACTCCAAACATCTGCGCAATTCTAGTGTAAGTAAATCCTAAACCCAGAAGGTCTTCAAGTAGTTCTGCAGATATGTCGAAAGCCCGCTTACCGGTTTCACCAATTTTAAGCCTGGGACAAACATTGTTCGCCACGTGGTGGGAGACACGGCTCCTCTGGCTAAACATTGCTGCAGGGCTGATAACACATCACTGAACGCTGATGAGAGATTATCCGAGGTTTCTTTGTCATATTCGAACTACTGTCTGCACTGGGAGTATACGAAGCAAACGCACCGTTTCATCGACAACAACAATATGCTGCTCCACAATGCAATTTCCTCATCCACTATCGTCTGGGAAATCTGGTCAGTTCGTTGAAGAACCTAGTCAAGAAACCTTGGAAGGTCAGACTCCAAATCGAAGTGGAGCCTTGTGTCATCTTCATAAGGTTCTATTTCCGTAGTCAGCATCACCGCCATGTTTTTAACAAGCAATGATCTGCGTCACTGACCAGAAGTAGTGAGGGCTCAAAAGAGTTGAATGAATATTTGAATGTTTTAAAAATTAAAGTTGAATGTTAAATAAATGGTTCAAATTGTTGAATAGATAACTGAATGGGTGAATGAAGAATTGAATATAAACTGAATAGTTGAGTGTTGAACGGGAAGTTGAATATTGAATAACGCGTTGAATGTTGAATACAAGTTGAATATTAAACGCATAGTGAAATACAAAATACAAACTAGATATAAAATTAAACGAATTGAATATTGCTACATTTGGCTTGCCATAGTGGAGAATGATGGAGTATTGTACTACTCCTTGACTGAGCGAAATCTTTTTGCCTCTTTGAGTCTCACATTTAGAGGTAATTAGTTCCTGCGATTTATGTTTCTACACACCCTGGTTTCTACAGATGTTTTCTGACAGAATTTGATCTCAGACGTAGTTTACCATCATGACTTTCTTTTAGCTCTGTTTTAAGCCTTAAGCTTTTTCATTGCGGCTAAATAACCTTAGTTTCTTTGGTTTTCTCCGAAATGCCTGGACCTGATTGGCTACATGTGTGTAGTTCTTTTTGGTCGTGAATCTCATGATTTCCTGATTTGGTTGACGCTAGAACTGTCGGCTGGATTACAGAATACGCGGCAGTGCATCTGCAGGGATTGGAAGACGCTGGAAAACCAGTCGGCAAATTTACAAGCAAATCCTGGCCTTGAAGGAATTCTCTCAAAGCTTTTTTTGTTTAGAAGAAGGCTTTAAAATGAATTCGAACTGCTCTTTCATTGTTTACGGTTACGATCCTTGCCAACTCCTTTCTGTGAATTTTTTCTAGTCTTCGTCATTGGTGTAAAAGTCGTAAATCTCGTTTGNCAGTCGGCAAATTTACAAGCAAATCCTGGCCTTGAAGGAATTCTCTCAAAGCTTTTTTTGTTTAGAAGAAGGCTTTAAAATGAATTCGAACTGCTCTTTCATTGTTTACGGTTACGATCCTTGCCAACTCCTTTCTGTGAATTTTTTCTAGTCTTCGTCATTGGTGTAAAAGTCGTAAATCTCGTTTGAGAAGTCACTGTCTTTGCCTATAGGCTGGAATTGTTCATACTCACCGAAGCTCTTCGACCCCAGGAGCCACTTTCTATGCTTGGGGTTTCAGTGACAACCAAGAATGTGCATTAAGCAAATGGAGTCAACTATTAACTTCCTTTTAAAGCGACCACCGTGCCGTACATTAAAGGTGCTGTGTCAGAAATTTCATCAAAATTCTAATAAAGGGAACTGGCACTAAATTGACTGAACAAAAAATACTAATGCTCAAAACATTTTAAAAAGGTATTGATGAAACAAGAAATGAAAAAAGGCACGAATGGACAAAAAAGGGACTGACATCGGGAGATTTTTACTACTTGTTGGCCTAACAGTTTTTCAAAGTTCACTTTTGAAGTTTGTAATGCTTTGTATAATAGCTTGGGAAGTATATTTGTTTGACAGGATGCTGTTATCTTGTCGTTTAAAAGTCATTTGGTCCGTCCTTAACGTTAATTTGCATAGCGCATAAGGAAGCGTAATTGGTATTATCAACAAATTGAACTAGACAGCCATGGCACTGCCTCTTTTTATTCTGAGAGCTGGAAGCTCTGCGGACACATTTTATTTCATGACCGAGTCTAGAAAATTAGGAATTTGAAACTACTTCCGTTGTTTTGTTAGTTGGGCCAACGGACATTTCAGAGAGTGAAATGTCAACGAATTCAATACAACGGAAATCAAAACTTAACGTGACCTGACATTGCACCTGCAGTATATAGGGTCTCAAAATCCACACTGTTGATTGAAAGGCAAGAACAGAAGGAACACGTCATTCTTTTCATTGTCAGTTTAGTCTGTTCCCTGTGTAAGTTAGGAATTTTGTTATTTAACTTTGCCGACGAGAAAAGAATTAAATTCTGGAATTGTGTTTAAGTGGCGTCATAGTAAAACGAACACACACCGATCAAGGACATTTGAATTTTACTTTGCCCTTATAGTTTTTTTTTACACATTTTATGATCTTTTTTCGTGTCCTGCATGCACTTTGTGTAAATTTGACAAAACAGGTCTATGTGAGACTAAAATTCCTAATATAAAATCACATTTAAGCAATGAAGGGGAGTGCTCTTTTCTAGATATATGGAACACATTAACTATTAAATGCATGACAAAATTGATTGCAAACAGAACTAAATAGACAACTAGCAAATACACGATTCAGGTGATTAATATACATGTAGCTTTCACCTGCTCTGCAAATTTGCTTCAGTAGATATATTTACAACCTACTTCTAGTAAAAAGCAAGATTACGTGTAAGCACTGTGCTCTCCATCGTTAAAATTGATATAGACGGCATAGAAGGTGAGCGATTTCCCTTTGTATTTTTTCTTCAGATGAAAATAGTGTTTATCATACTGGATTGTCAAAAAAGTGTTCAGCCTTTCTATTTCGTCCGTATTTTACTTAAAAATGACAATTGGTGTAATGGTAAGAATGTTGCGGCTGCAGTGTTTGCTTTCTTGCGAGAATAAACGGTGATGACCGATTCTACTACAATGGAAGGTGGCACGTTAGCCCGAACTTGGTTAACTCCATCTTTTCTGACTAATTTTTAATTCCCTCTGGCTCAAACTCGACCTACGCTTTAAAAGGTCCCTCGGTAATTAAGTGTCAGAACAAAGCTCACTGATGCACTGTAGGTAGATAAGAGCCTCTTTTTTTACTCAGCAAGTTCTTATAATTTAAAAAGACTCTTGACTAACAAAACTCAGTGCCAGGGATGGTTGTCCAATACTCAGCACTTGTTCAAGTCGTGAAAGTATCTGAATTATTGACTCGGAGTTTTACAGCCCGTACGGGTGGGGCGAGTTGTGAGAGCAGCCTTTGTATTTGTGCAAAATAGGATAAATTAAGGAAAATGATATGACGGATGATAAACAAAGTCTACAAAAAAACGATACGATTTATATATGCACAAAATACGTATATTTAACTTCAACAGCAACCCCACTAATTCAAATCCTGGCTAACGAACATGAATTATTCAAAGGGTAGTCCGGAGCATTTGATCCGTTTGATTATTGTTAATTGACGGAAATTAATTTCTAAAAGATGATGATTTCGAATATCGCATAGCAGTGAAAATAATTATGGTAACTATGTAAATTACCATGCGCTATCATCGTGCCATCGATCACCAATAACTTTTATTGGACATTGGACAAATTCCTTGTAACAGTCCATCGCCTTTTTGTCCCCTGAGTCCAAGGACTCAAATATTCTACCCTTCCAGCTATTTTTTTACAAAACAGACAACTTTTGATTAGAACTGTATATCACACAGTCACATTAGTCAATTCAGGACAAGCACGTCAGTATGACTCATAACTGCATCACGCAGTCACATTAAGGCATATCAGAGATGCAACCATCCGAACTCCAAGTGAGTCTTTTGTAGAAGTACAAAAACATGATACGTTTTTGCATCAAACGGAAATTCGGAAAAAAAAAATCCGAGCCCCAGATGAAAAACTTTTGCTTTAATTTTTAAAAGCTCTTTCCAGTTTTTTTGTTGTCGGTCTTCTATTATTTTCTTCTTTCTTTCTCTTTAAATTTTAAATATTTTTGTAGAAGAGTACCGAACAATCCCGATTCTCTGCGGTTTTCCTTACTTCTACTTCTTTAAATTTTTATTTATTTTTGTTTTTTGATTTTTTTTGTCGTCCTGTTAAAGTGATTATTGAAGCTACAACTACAAAATGTGGAGGGTCAAAAACACCTTTGACAGATAGTTATTTTTCCATTTTCCATACTCCTATAGACCATATAAACGACTTCAATATGTTCAAGGCGCAAAGTTAAATAAAGAGCCGCAGGCGAAATATTTCAATAAAAAAGTGATTTCATGTGAGGTTCATCCACCATAAGAATTATTTTGGACAGTTTTTGCGTGCTCATCTCTTAATTTGAGAGACCGACAACGACACTGGATACGACCGTCAGGAAACAGAAAGTAATAGCCCTGAAACGTCTACCACCTTTCACTCTGAAAAACCCTGTGAACATTGTGAGAACTCTAATGTGTACGGGACATTGATCATGAAATGTCCTAAATGCTTTTGGCACGATTACTACAAGATTTGTCCTATATGCGATCACCAGATACTCGAAGAGAGAAATTACACCAAAGAGGGCTTTCTTCGGTGTCACGATTGTGAAGCAATTTTACACACAAAAAGGCGAAGGCGTTGGAAACCAAATTCTATTCCCCTTTAAAGAGGATAACGAAGAAGAGGATCAATTAATTTCGATCCCTTTCAAATCGCTGTGTATTTTACTATTTTTGTCATTGGTTTTTAAAGTTGGTAAAACAGTACTTCGTGTCTGCTTTTATTGCTAGTAATTATTAGTCGCGTGTTTTAATTGATCCTTGTTAAGTTATTAATTGTTTTGTGTTTTTATAATAATACGTCAAGGTTCTCACTTGGGGTTTTTGCTGCAGAGCTGAACTAATTTGTATGCAAGGGTGGGCTTTACTAGTTGTTCATTTTCTCGAGATAGAACGGAGAGAGTTTTCAGCTCCACTTTTTGTGTATTTTTCGCTTATATTCGATTTTTAACGCTAAATAGAAGACAAGCCGTTTCTCGCGTTGCTAGG